AACCTTGGGTACATTTAGCGTGCGTCGTCGTCGTCATTTGTTTGTTCCGTATCGTAAATGTTTGCATCTTCATCTGTTTCCTAAATTTCCAAGCTCACTTTATTTTTTTTTTGTTTCTCTTCCAACAACAATTTCTCTTCTTCCCTTCACCATCGCGTGACGCGCATTCATTTATTCAAAAACAAAAACAAAACAGAAACAAAAAAAAGCCTAGGGTTATTGTCGAAAGTAACCGTAAACAACTTCAAATCGAAATTGCAACGTTGTATTTTTATATAACAAATAACCATGGTTACTGACACTTTGATTGCACAATCAAACAAAAAAAAAGTCACTAAATCGAATCGAACTAAACCGTTACCAACTTGGTAATCAATTCAATTGCAACATTTCTTTTCATCTCCATGGTTACTTGTATTTATTTTACGTTTTAAATAAGAAACAAATTCTTTTCATCTCCATGGTTACTTATATTTATTTTACGTTTTAAATAAGAATGAAACGAAAAAAATCGAAGTGATTTGGAAACAAATTCTTGTTTGAAGACGCAAACATACTTTGATTATTTTTTTTTTTAGATTATTAATATTAAATTTTTAAACATAATTATTGTTCTTTAAAGTCTTTTTTTTTAGTTATTTAGTTATTATTTTAACTACTTTAAAATTTAGCAATTAAAAAACAGATAAAGCTCTTAAATTTTACTAAAACTCATAATTATAATCTAATCTAAATGTCTTTTTTTTTTGTTATTTTTTTTTTTGAAGTTGATGAAATTTGTAGGAGTTCTACGTAAGTTGTCGGTTAATTCGTGTCGTGTCTTGTTTATTGTTATCGTGTTGCGTTTATTGTGGGATTTCCCTCTTGTAGAAGAGCTTCTGCTCCGGGTGCCACCTGGGTGGAGCATCTTGGGCTTGGTACTCTTCCTTCTCGATTTCGCTCTCCAACAACTGCACAACATAAAATTTCGATTAAAAAAGCACATAAACAATTTAATTAATCGATTGATTAAGTTTTATTAGTTAATTGAAGAACGATGAATGGATAACTTTTGTATAACTTTCATTCATAGAACATGCATTCATTAACTGCAACGATTTAGTCAAACGTTAGCAGTTATTTGCAAAGAAAACTTTCATTAAACGAACACCAAATTTAATCATTCGTTAACTGAAATTGTCATTAGTTAATTGGAAATAAGTAAGAGTCGTTAAGTTAATTGGATTTTCTTGTGCTAATGTACAGTTAATTCTATTTTAAAGTCAATTTCTAGAAAATCTTTGAATTCTATTTGCAAATTTATGTGTTTCTAGAAATCGTCTGTAGAAACTATAGTTTTCTTCGCTTTTTTTAAACAAGTTTTCTCTGAATTTTACGTAATTATAGAGTAATTGAATAATTTTCACAATCAATTATTTTTTTTTTAATAATTTCTTCAGTTTATGATTAGTTTTATTATCGAAATTGAAGCTAGTCAAGTAAAAAATACTTATAATTGAATAATTGTGTTTGTTGATAAATTTGAAATATTGGAATTTTCAGTAATGTCTTCAGTTTTTGGAAAATTTCTTGAAAACTGTTGAATTTAATAGAAAGTTATTCAAATTCAAGTTAATTGTGAATTTGAAATAATGACATTTTTATCAATATCTTTAGTTTTTAGCTTTATTCAATTGTTCTAATAAGTTCTGCAGTAAACAGTAATAGAAAATCGAGGGTGGCTTTTGATGGGCGAGCGAAGCGAGTCCTGAAAACAACTGAAATTTTCAATCTTCAATGCGATCATCACCTAGATGGCGTTACGCAACAATCATAAGATTGTCTTCTTGTTTCATAACAACGAACGAAACCGAAAAAGATGCATCTCTGGACTATGCCGTGCAATATTTTATTAAATAATTTCATCTAATTTTTCAAACACAGACTAAAGAAAAAAGTGTGAAATTTACAACAGCTTTTCAGGACTCGCTACGCTCGCCCATCATGATTCTTTCAAGTTAATCAATGAATTCAGTAGTAAAAAGTGTTTGAAAATGAAATGTTTTGATGATGGGCGAGCGAAGCGAGTCCTGAAAGGCTTCAATAACCTTCAAAAGTTCTCATTTATGGAAAAAAAAATTGAACGATTTCATGTATTCTAGATTTATATTATAACAAGTAAATAAAAAAAATTAACAAATTCATAATTTTTCTACATATTTTACTTTATTAAAATCGAGGGTGTCTTTTGATGGGCGAGCGAAGCGAGTCCTGAAAACAACTGAAATTTTCAATCTTTAAGGCGATCATCCCCTAGATGGCGTTACGCAACAATCATAAGATTGTCTTCTTAATGTCTTCATAAATGATGAAATTGCGTACGACGTGAACGAAACCGAAACAAGATAACATGCATCTCCGGACAATGCCGTGCAATTGCGAACGCTGCGAATGACCATGTACTAATATCACGCGGATTACCATAATATTTTATTTATTTAATTTTTCCTTATTACTTCTTTACGTTTTTGTTGTGTTTTATTCTCTCTTTTTGCGTAACGCAATTGAAATGAGAAATTGTAATTACACGATTTAACGTCTAAACGCAACGAGGTTCCCAAGTGCTTGCTGTTCGCACATTCACTAATACGTATTATGTACACTTTATTAATGATTGTGAAAGACGTCGGCACAGGTGCGTCGAAAACTAATTACGTTTGGTTTTAAATTTGCAAATTGTATTCACTGTTATGTGAATAATTGTATTGTATTGTTGTCTACAGTTTTAGGTTTAATTTGTATAGTTTGAAAGTAATGTAGCGTTTGTAGTTTATTAGAAAAATGTGATTAAGTAACATTTGTATTTCAATTAGTTTTGAATATACTTTGAGAAAATCTATCTATTTCATCAATTACTGAAGTATTAAAGCCTTTCAGGACTCACTTCGTTCGCCCATCAAAATCCATTGGAAAAAAGGAAAGAAATGTATTCATCTGTACACTTCTTGTTTGATTATAAATCTTTGTTGTTTTGTTTTTTTTTTGGTAACACTTTTGTTTGTTGTTATTAATATTTTGTTTTCTTGTTGTTCTTTTGTTTTCTTACTGTTCCTTTGTTTTTGTTTATGATGGATAACGAAAACAAAAACTAAAAACAGTTGAATGATATTTATTTTGTTTTGTGTGCGTGCGTGTGTGTGTGTGTTAACTTTCTATTTCGCTTCGTGCGTGTGTTCCGTTTCGTAAGTCCTCCTCATCCGCCCGCGATGCATTCAAGTACAAGAAGATGAAGAGAAGAGAGAAAAAAATGGAAATGTATAAATCAAAACGCACTCGACGCAGCGGGATCCGAAGATAATGACGATGATTACGATCCGAACGTTTTGTCGCTGGCCGGCGCCGACGAAATTCTTAACGTCGTTACGTAACGCTCGATGAAGATGATCGTGGTGATGGTGAAAGGTGATGAACTCTTTCCTTCATTCATTCGCTCACCTCTTTGAGAAGTTCTCTCAACTTGTCCAAACGATCGACCTTCGCCCTCGTCGGAAGGTACCGGGCTTCGGACACCTCGGAAAGGTTGATCAGAAGAAGGGCCGCCAACACACACAGCAACATCCTGACACAGGCCATCTACGATAATAATAGAAAAAAAAAACAATAAACGTAAATTACACAAGCCTTCTACGATATATAAAATATATTACTATACTATATTACTATAATAGATAGAATGAATTCAAAATATGCATATAAAAGCTGAATGTT